ATAGTGGAAGAACAGAGATCCTGTGACATTTAAATGAAGAAGGCCAGGTTTCACTGTATGAACAGTTCCCCATTTTGTTTCGTATGTGCCTTTAAAAAGGAAAACTGAAAACAAAAGAACTCATACTGATCTGTCAGTCAGTCATGGTTCTCTGATGAGGATATAGGTGTTGCTTTTCTTAAAGCGTCTCAGGGTTTTCCCCCATGGGATTGGGGTCACTGGAGAGAAATGCTACTGGGAACAGCAGGTCCCACCCCTGTACGCACTCCGTGTCAGTCTTCCAGCTGTGGAACCCCTTCTCTGCTCACCGTGCACTTTTCCTGCTTTTCTATCTGGAGTGCACAGTGTGGTACTGAACATAGTCGGAACTCAGTAAATGGTGGTGAAAGGAGGGAGGAAAGAGAAGGATAGAAAAATGGATGTATAAAGCTGGGCGTGGTGGCATACTCGTAATCCCAGAACTCTGAGGCTGAGACAGGAGGATTGAAAGTTCAAGCCCAGCCAGGGTTACTTAGCTACTTAGTAAGTTCCTGTCTCAAAGTAAACCATTGAAAAAGAGACTGGAGATGTAGCTCAGTGCAAAGACCCTGGGCTCAGTACCCACTAACACACGCACACACACGCGCACACACACACACACTTGGATAACAAGGGCCATTATAGAAAATAGTCTGATTTTGAGGGGCACTTACCTGTAATTGATTATTTAATCTTGAAAAGACACTAGTCTTCAAGGGTAAAATTTGGGTTTCAGAGTTAAATGTCATCTTTGCAAGGCTTATAACTTAGGAACAGAATCCCTAGTTTCAATTTTATATATGAATGTGACTTTAGTGCCTGGCAAGCCTTACTCAACAAAACCTGAGGGTGGGGGGGCTGCCCCTTAGCTCAGTCTTTAAGTGGCTGCTTCAACAAAGCAGTCAGGCTCAGGTTGCTGTGGTTCGATCCCCACAACTCCAGCCAGCCAAACCTGCCCTGAAGGCATTCGGAGCAAAAAAAACAAAAACAAAAACAACAACAACAAAAAACCTGGGATAGGGTTGTAAATACAGCTCCACATGGCAGAGCCGCCACCCCCATTTTCTGGATGTATGGGATCAGCCACGACGCTACGGATATGGAATCTTCAAGGCTTTATAGTACATGCTGAATAGTTGTGTTCCATTGATAAAATTTGGGCTTGGAGAAATTGAAGAACAGAGGGAAAAGGAAGCATACCATGCAAGGAACAGCAATGTGCAGACAGGAGGTTAAGCAGCCTTCGTGTAACTTTCATATGACTTTCAGGAGTCCTCGGGGAATTTGAAAGTTTCTTTGAGCCTCAATGCCCTCATTTGCAGTATAAGCATAATAGTTATACTCATCCTCCTAGATTGCTGTGAGGATGGCTAAGAGTCGCCCTGTACTATTAGTAGACTTGGAGTCGAAATCTGAATTAGCATTTAAAGTAACCCCACTCCAGGCAGCAAGTGACTAAACTGTGATTGGGAGGAAAATGACCCCAAAAAGTATGTCAGGTCTAGAAAGGCAGCCCAGAACCTAGAGAAAGTGGGCATGTAAACCAAGGAGGGTATTTCTGTTTTTAATTGGCATTGTTTTCCCAGGTGAGCTGGCACTGGAAGAATTTAGCAGAGCTAGACCAGCTGTGGATGCTGAAATGCTTACGGTTTAACTGGTGCATCGACTTCTCCCCAAGTCCCTTTGAGCAGGGGATATGGAAGAAACACTATATTCAAATGGTGAAAAAGCTTCATGTCACCAAGCCCAAGGTACACTTGAGAGAAAATGTGACACACTTACAAACATCAGCTCTAATACATTTTGGAACTATGAATAAATGACAGAACCTGACGCTGAGTCCAGGCGATAGTTCCAAGGAGGTTTCCTTCCACTGTGATTTCAAAATGCTCATTTTCTGAGATGCCAAAGCCCTTTTTCTGATACCCAAGTTAGTTGAGAGCCCTCTCCAGGCCCATGGTGACCTTCCCTGTCCTGGCCTCTGATGTCTGTCCCTCTAGCTTAGATATAAGCTGATGGGGAACTCTGAGGGTAATGTGCAATAAATGTTACCTATAGCCATCATATTTTACTTTACAAATTCAAATTTTCTGTGATTCTACAAGGTGAAGTGGAGTCTGTTTTTACTTTTTAATTATTTATCTCTTGCAGTGCTGGGATTGAAACCCAGGGCCTCACCATGAGACCTATACCACTGAGCTGTCAGCTCAGAATTTATTTGTTTGTTTGGTTATTTATTTATGGTACTGAAGAGTCAACCCAGG